TTATTCTTTCAAATCAAACTTTCATTTTAAACTAATAAATGAAAAGAATTTGATCCACACTATATGTATCTCTAATCAAAGGCAGTAAAGATGAATTAATAATTTAAAAAATTCTATGATCTTTTTATCATAGGATATTTTTATGATCATATCTTATTTAATTTCTTCATATTCGTCTAAAGAGAAATTCTGTTTGTTAAATTAGTGATCCTTAATTGTTTTGAGAATATCTGTAATTATATTTAGGTTATACTTTCCAACATTAAGCATCTATTCCTTGTCCAATAGTGATGAATTTTCGAACTTTAATATTTCCTACTCAACGTGCCTTTGATTTTGAACTGAAGAGAGAAATTTTTGACAGTCTTAAATTTTCTCCCTTTTGAATATTTTTATAAGAATAGGTAACACTACTAAATCATTAGCTTTGGAAAAATCCAAAATCCTGTATAAATCTTCCTTCTACCCTTTTTCCCAATTCATTTTCTTTTCTTAATCTAATGAATTTGTAATTCTTTATTTAAATTATATACAATAAATTAACTTGAAAATTTTAGTTAAGTAGAAAATCAAACTTTGAATAGACAATTTGATTGCTTATAATTTAAAAACTGTTATTCTCACTATCCATACTGATGAATACTTCAAAATAAATAGTTTCTCATATTAAAACCAGTAATAACAAAAAAAAGTGAAACAGAAAAAATCACAACTAAATTCATAAATTCAAGAATTTCCAAACACACAAATCTTAGAAAAATAGCAATTTTAATAACATTTATCTTTCTATTATTTCATTATTATTCAGAATTCAAGTTGTGTAATTATATAATTATTCATAAATATACAAATGCTTAAATTCTCTTAATGCAATCCATTGAAAACATATTCCAATTTAGACATAAATCACAAGAGATTAGATTTATAAGATTTATGTCCCTATCCTTAAAATGAATGATAAATTATAGAAGATCTACAACTAAATCAAATAATATAAATTCTTCACCCAGAATCTCCTTTTAGAATGATAATGTAAATTGAACATCAATTATTGAGTAGATGTAATGAATATGGCGACCCTGATGAAATAAGATATCTAAATTTGCTTTTTCGGACGAATTTAGACAGCAATTAAGAATGATAATTACAATAAAAATATCTAGTGTAAGTAATCTCAGCTGTGAGTGTTTTAGGGAAAGAGTTAAGATTTTAATATATAGAGACAATATAAAGAAAGAATAAAAAGGACAGAAATTTAGAATTAAAAATAATAAATTTACATAGTAGAGGAGAAGGGTAGATTAAATCAAAAAAAGGAATGAAATGGAACAAACCAATCCAAATGATTACTAAATTTAACAATAAAAAAACTGCTTTGGAGCAATGACAATAATCCTAATACAATCATTTATAATGATATTTCCTTCAGATAAAAATACGGTTTCATTTTAAATTAGCTTAGTTTTATTAAAAGATTAAAGATAAAATAAAATTTACTTATATTGTTGTAATTAAACTATTAACCAGCCACCTTAATACAATATTTAGAAGGAACACATATTTCATTTACTTTTATTACAATTATTTTAATCATTTTGTCTGAAATTTATTTCAATATTAATTGCATTTAAATGGAAACTCTTTGATATTGTTCTAAAAATTTTAATTACTAATCTACCTTTCTAATACTAAAATTATCATCTTAATAAAATCATTAACAATAATTTTAATAAAAATATTCTTAATAAAAATAATCTTTATAAAAAATGTTCATAATATGAAAATTGTTCCAAGTTCAAAATAACATTAAAATATTACAAAAATGAATTTCGTATATGATTTTTTATTGATATATTATCAGTCTTAAATATTACATTTTTTTAAATAATTTACCATAGTCGTATTCTTTTCAAAAAAATTTTATTTATATAAAAAAGGTATAACTATTACTTTTTCAAACAAATTTATAATCTAATTAGTCCTCTCCTTAAGGGGGAGGCCACCTCGTAAATCCAACAGA